CGGTATGCAATGCGTTACTAAAGCGGCCCAGGACGATGTTTTCACATTGAGGTCCCTATCACAGCAGTGATATAAATGATCCTTAACCAAACCATCCCAATATCCCCATATCCCATATCCCCCAATCCCATAGTTCTGTGCTGCACCAAGAGGACGCTCACCCTGTCACGTGCAGTATCACGTGGCCTCGGCGCTAATCGCAAACGGATATGACGTCATCTAAACATTGGGTGGATAACTCTATCACCCTGTTATTTCCTTATCTCCCCTATCGGAGAAACCATCAAACCTCAGGGTACGTTTAACCAACTTGGTTTCGTTTAAAATAAAATATTCAATCCAGCATTAAAGAACTTACATCGGCCCATATGTAATCACTTTATTCACATCTGCAATCATTGTATTCAATATGTAATCAGTGTATTCACATCTGTAATCACTTTATTCACATATGTAATCACTGTATTTACATATGTAATCACTGTATTCACATATGTAATCACTGTATTCGCATATGTTATCCCTGTATTCACATCTGTAATCACTTTATTCACCTAGGTAATCACTGTATTCACATATTTCTATAATTGGAGGATCAACTCTCGAAGAATAAGCAAACCCTTTGATAATATCACTAATTCTCTCCCTTCCCTTTTTGGACATAAACATCATAAATCAAAATCAAAACATCATGTTTATAAAACCAAAGTACTTTTGAGTTTAATTAGTTAAAAAACAAACGCATTAACTTTGACAGAAAAAAAGCTTAATATTGGGGATATTTTATCTTGTTTAACTTGTGTTCGTAATTATAGTAAAACATTTTTAAATACTAAATTTTTATTTCTTCCAGTCGAAGTTGATTTTCTTCTCTCTTCAACTCTTTAGCTTGAAAAGTTCAATAAGAAGTGTGTGAACAGGATGTTGAGGTGTGTGAGTGTATGTGTGAGTATGTGGGAGGGGGGTATCCTGTTGGGGGTGGGGTTATAACTCGACCCCTAAAGAACTAAATATACGTATTTTTGCTTTATAATAGATTAAAAATGACATTTCAACCAGAACTGGAAATATTCCACAGAAAGCTGTTGTACACAGATTTTTTTTTTTTGCTTTGGTTTGGTTTGAGTTAAGGTGGGTCGCCAGGAAAAAATCCGGGTGGGCCGCCTTTTAGTGCCTCAATTAAAATATGAACTAACCCTTCTGTTTGTCGTTTAGTTATTAAAGTATATTCCAATTTGTGAAGCGACCGTTGACTGTAGGCATCGGTCCTAAGTCTTGGATGAAATAATGCACTTTAAAACTTTACGCCGGTAGGGGGGGGGGGTGAGTGCTTTTATTTATTTTCCGGGCCGCTAGTACCCAACCAGTCCATCCCTGGACTGAGATCTAAATAAAACTGTGTTCTAAGCGTAGCTCTGAGATCTAACTAAAATTGTTTTCTAAGCGTAGGTCTGAGGTGCCGACAGCTTATTCACGAGTGACCGCCCTTTTGGCAATATCCAGGCCCTGTACTTAGACTTGCAACGGGCCGAATATTCCAGATTTTTCCAGCGCAATAAATCTAGCCAGACGGGTGGAGGGCTCTCTAACCGGACGTATGAGTTTCTGGTGCCAAATTCTCTGCGCCGCGTGCCCTTGGTGTGACCTTGATTGATGCCGGCACGGATATCTAAGGAGCTATTCACATATCTACTGCCCATAATACGTGGATAGGAAATGGTGATGGGGAACTTTATTTGGCAATAAAGATTTCTTTATAGCATAATGATATATATATATATATATATATATATATATATATATATATATATATATATATATATATATATATATATATATATATATATATATATATATATATATATACACACACACATACACACACACAAATATATATATATATATATATATATATATATATATATATATATATATATATATATATATATATATATATATATATATATATGATATATAGAGTGAAGGTACGAAAGAGTTAAACAACTCTAATGATTAAGTTCTCCTGATATTCTTATCAGTATGTTTCACCACTAAGGGCTACGCGTGTGGTAGCTAAAGTTTTAATTGGTTATTGATCATTTCGTAGCAATTCAGTTGATTCTGATCGATATCCCGATGGATAAGTTTATTGGTCCTTGAAAAAACTCCGGATACAAGATTGTGAGCAGGCTTTACTAGCTCTAAACGGAATGGGAACAGTTTTACAATAGTGTACAATCGACAATGTTGCGTGATGCAAGTTAGAAAAAAAAATTGGTACACCTTGCCACATTGGCAAATTTAAAGCCAAATTCAAGTCTTTACTAAGATATATGTGTTTAGTTGATTTTGTTTCTTTAGTTTTTGGTACTATATACATTTTGATAAATATAATATTAGAGTGTTCAAAAAATTATATGTGTAATTTGAACGTCATGTGACTTAACTGGCAAACACACCAGCCAATACAAGACTTTGTTGGCAGACGATGAAAACCTATAAAACAACACCACAAAAAGAATGTGTTGATATAGCCAACAATCTCCCGATGTCTGAGTTTAAATCAAAAGATCTAAGCCAGGGGTCTCCAAACTACGGCCCGCGGGCCGGATGCGGCCCGCGAGGTCCTCTCATCCGGCCCGCGGTGATCTTTTTGTCCATGGAAAAAAATGTGTGTTAGAGGTGGCTGTGGAACTTTGCCCAGAAAATTCAAAAGAAGTTGAAAATGTAGTTTTGGGTGCAAATACCATTGCCCGCCGTTTTCCAGACATTGGTGAAAACATTGTGACTCAAATAGCGAAATATGCAAGCATGTTTCGCTATTTTTTAATTGCAATGGATGAGTCGCTGAAATTTAGATACATTTTTATATAATATATATTTCGTTGGGGGGGGGGGGGGGGGGAGAGAAAAGAGAGGGGGGTATATGTTCATCGGTGGGGAGTGAGGGGGGGGGGGGAGCTCCGCCATCCCCAAAGAGATGCCTGGAAGAAACTGGCCCCCGAACCGATATTTGATAGTTAATGCGGCCCTCGGGCTGAAAAGTTTGGAGACCCCTGATCTAAGCCATCGCGAATTCTACCGTCAGCTCCGAAAACCGGAAGTGAAAAAAATGTTTTTAAAAACTCATTTTACGACCAGCCGTCTGGCTGGGAGATGTAATGAAGGGGACGTAATCACCGCGGAGATGGGGGTTTTAGACAGCTATTGACTAGACAGTTGTCTTCCCTTGTTTGATCTAACTTTATTGACTCTAGCCTTTAACTCTACAATCCACTTTGGAGGAATTAGATTTTTTTTTGAGTCACAAGACAGAAAGTTCCTTCTCGGTAAGTTTTTTTTTTTAAAGTTAGTTTAGATATATCTAAACAAAATATTCTCAAAACATTTAGATGTTGGAATCGATTATTATAATTTCTCTTAGGGAAACTTTGAGTTATGTCTGCGTGTTTTCTTCTCTAATTCATGAATGTATTTGTCCACTTAGCCAAAACACAGCTTACACCTCAAAACTTAAAGGAGAACACACCCTTAAAACAGCCCTTTTATCACATAACTCTAGTAATAACCAGCTGGTGAGGGGGTAAGGGTGTGGTCTGGAGGTAGTGTCATGATTGATAACTCCGAAAGTGCCGAGTTCAGACCTCGGGCAGATAACACTCGTTAGATGGGGCAGCAACCCATCTAAGACAAAAACTACAAAACAACTGATGCCTGGTATATTGATCTATGTCGGACAAAAGCTATGGAAGCAAATGAAGAAATAAAAGCAGGCTTTAGACGGAGTCAACAGGCCATAAGGTGCACAAGATGTTGACACATTGTGTACAATGTTACAAGCGAATAAGAAAGAAAAAACAAATCAGCAATTGAATGCCTGTAGTTTATGTACAAATGAGTCAACTTGACTTTATAAACCAAATCAAACTTTATAATGTCGCCACACCTTTATATAAAATCTCCTGGCACTCAAAGATACACCTGATGAGAAAAGATCACGTGGGCCTCTATGGATGTTACCTGTTGCACGTGAATGGCTCGCACATTTTTTAGATCTAGCCGAGCGGTGAGTCAAATAGAATAAAACAGCGCAGCACCCAATAACCCCACTTTTAAAAATCGTTTTAGGTAGTCAGGGGGAAGCAACTATGATGTAAACATTACTTCCAAAGTTATCTCCCTTATAAAAAAGCAAAGACGTGATAATGGGGAAATAACAGCTTTGTACTCATTACTAGTTGGTGGTGTCCCTTTAGAAATGGTGAGCAAGAGGAAATATGCGTCTCGTGCCTGTCGATTTCCCTTAAACACCTACAGAAGTTAACCAGACGCCTTGTATTCACTAGTAGCTGGTGATCTCCCTTTAACACTACAATTGTAAACAAAGGGGAAACAATCGACTTGTACATTAACAAAAGAGGAAATAACCGTGTTGTATGTTAACAAAAGAGAAAGACAACCGTGTTTTGTAATCATTACTACTCGGTGATCTCCCTTAAACATTCACAAAATAGAAAACAACTGTGTTGTACATCAACAAAAGGGAAAGACAACCGTGTTATACTCATTACTACCCGGTGATCTCCCTTAACACTACAATTGAAAACAAAGGGGTAATAACCGTCTTGTACATTAGACATTAACTAAAGGGGAAAGACAACCGTGTTGTACATTAACAAAAGGGGAAAGAACCGTGTTGTAAATTAACAAAAGGGGAAAGACAACCGTGTTGTACATTAACAAAAGGGGAAAGACAACCGTGTTGTACATTAACAAAAGGGGATAGACAACCGTGTTGTACATTAATTAAAAAGGAAAGACAACCGTGTTGTACATTAACAAAAGGGGAAAGACAACCGTGTTGTACATTAACAAAAAGGGGAAAGAACCGTGTTGTTCATTAACAAAAGGGGAAAGACAACCGTGTTGTACATTAACAAAAGGGGAAAGAACCGTGTTGTACATTAACTAAAGGGGGGCAATAACCGTGTTGTACTCACTACTACCTGGTGATCTCCCTTGGTGGCGATCTCGTGGTTGAGCAGCAGCTCCACGGCCTCGACGTTCTCCTCGTTGATGGCGTGCAGGAGGGCGTCGCCCACCTCCACCCCGTGGGACAGGAGCAGCTCGATCATCTCGATGTTCTCGTTCTCGATGGCCACCAGCAGGGCCGTGCGACCCAGGGGGTCCAGGCAGTTCAGGTTCATCCCCGTCTGCTTGGCCAGGTTCAGGTACTGGCGCGTGGACGGGACGTCACCCCTCTCCACCTGGACGGGATATGAAGAGTTAAATGTTAGGTTCGGATTAGATTATTAGATAAACTAACACGGGATTTCTGGAATACTACATGCGGATGAGCCCGCAAAGATAACAGCTGCTTAAAATATATACAAATAGATTCATTCCAATATATATATATATATATATATATATATATATATATATATATATATATATATATATACAATTTTCACTCCAAAAAAGTTACCTTTTTATTGTAAACGCGTAAATGTATTTAAACATAATGATGACTCTCCCCAAGAGCTTTATGGAAATGTTTTGTGCCAAAAAAAAAGTATTTGGTTCCAAACTTTGTGTAATTGTTTTGGTCTAGCATGTCAGTTTGTGTTTTCTGATATCGAGTCCCGTCCCCGGGGGGTGTTGACTCACAATAGGTTTTGCCGATGTAATGTCAACCGGTTCCTTACAATCCCTACATGAGACCGTCTAATGATATCCTGACCGTAGCTTTGCATGCATACACCAAACTTGAACAACTAGCAAGCTTCAGCAGAGCAATAGGAAATCACTGCGTGAACTGTCTTTTCGAAATTATTTCAACAAACACAAACATTAAATTGAGAAAGTATTAATGATAAATATTCTTAGGATTTGATTATTTTAGCTGCAGATTACTAAGCTTTGTACTCTCTTTTTGTCTTGTCCCGTTCATGTTTACGACACATGAGGCAGATGAGGCGGGGGGGGGGGGGGAGGGTGTGTGTCAGCAATCTGTCCAGCCGGCTTTGCTTCCCTAACGTGATTCAGGTACTCATTAGTGCTGGGTGGGCTCACGGACGTCCTACAGACACGAGCTCGGGGTTCAAACTCGAAACTTGCGGGTTAGGGTCATGAGCTCTACCATTCGACCCCGCTGTTTATGTTTTTCTCGCCGAAAATAGGCTCAATTTTGATTTCAAGGAGCGGCATATGATTCCAGTGTTAAAACCTTTTGAAACCTTTCCCTTACAAAACTTAACTATTGTCCCTAAAAAACCCCAACGTTACCTTAACTAAACCTAATCCTTATCAAAGATCACATTAGAAACAAATAAACCTGAGGAAGTTCCTAACTAAACTTAATCTTTGCTCACTTGATTGTAGAAATTAGCGCTAAAAAATAAAGACTTATCTATCGGAAAAAAAATTGTGGTCAAATTTGGATTTAAAAGTAAGGGAAGTAATTCATTTCCTCCTAGCATGTCACCATTCAGTTATAGGATGTTAATGTGCTTAGAGGGGGGCTCTATAGTCACGTGGTGCCCGTGGGGTAACGGCGGCTAACAAGGAAGAAAATGTCAGACAGCTGAGATTTCTTTGACGGCCTTTAGACAACGGCCAGGGACTCACGACGGAGTCAAAGTAAGGTGACGTCATGTCTAAAGAGGGAGAGGAGCGTGGGTCGGGGTTTGAGGGTGGGTTTGACGGTGGGACGGGGTGTGAGGGTGGGGTTTAATGGTGGGTCGATGTGTGAGGGTAGGTTGTGGTTTTAAGGTGGGTCGGGGTTTGAGGTTGGGGTTTGAAGGTGGGACGGGGTTTGAGGGTGGGGTTTGAAGGTGGGTCGGGGTTTGAGGTTGGGGTTTGAAGGTGGGACGGGGTTTGAGGGTGGGGTTTGAAGGTGGGTCGGGGTTTGAGGTTGGGGTTTGAAGGTGGGTCGGGGTTTGAGGGTGGGACGGGGTTTGAGGGTGGGACGAGGTTTGAAGGTGGGTCGGGGTTTGAGGTTGGGGTTTGAAGGTGGGTCGGGGTTTGAGGGTGGGACGGGGTTTGAGGGTGGGACGGGGTTTAAGGGTGGGACGAGGTTTGAGGGTGGGGTTTGAAGGTGGGTCGGGGTTTGAGGGTGGGACGGGGTTTGAGGGTGGGTCGGGGTTTGAAGGTGGGTCGGGGTTTAAGGGTGGGACGAGGTTTGAGGGTGGGGTTTGAAGGTGGGTCGGGGTTTGAGGTTGGGGTTTGAAGGTGGGTCGGGGTTTGAAGGTGGGTCGGGGTTTGAGGGTGGGACGAGGTTTGAGGGTGGGGTTTGAAGGTGGGTCGGGGTTTGAGGTTGGGGTTTGAAGGTGGGTCGGGGTTTGAAGGTGGGTCGGGGTTTGAGGGTGGGACGAGGTTTGAGGTTGGGGTTTGAAGGTGGGACGGGGTTTGAGGGTGGGACGGGGTTTGAGGGTGGGACGGGGTTTGAGGGTGGGGTTTGAGGGCGAGTCGGGGTTTGAGGGTGGGTGGGAGATTGGGGGTGGGTGGGGGTTTGAGGGTGATGGGGGTTTGAGGGTGGGGTTGGGGTTTGAGGATGTGTCGGGTTATGGGTGGGTCGGAGTTTGAAGGTGGAACGGGGTTTGAGGGCGGGTAGGGGTTAAAGGATGCGGTTTGAGGGTGGGTTGGTGTATGAGGGTGGGGTTTGAAGGTGGGTCGGGATTTGAGGGTGGATCGAGGTGCAAATAATCTCTGCTAGAATAATTATAAATTCTAAAATCATCTCATTCATAAAAACATTCAATTGAGAACCACCTTTACCACCCAGAGAAAGTTCGTGACTTTAGTAAAATATCTAGCAGTTAAAAAACTAAAACTCTATCCAACGATATCTCCATTCAATTATTCAAGCATTGATAAGCTGGCTTTAGAAACACTCAGTGCGCCATCTCATAAACCCTCAGAGTAAATCTTTTATCAAAGCGTCGTTGTATAAACCATTAGCCTCTGAGCCAAATTTTTTCAACCTCCCTAGGTCAATAACAAACTTTTTCACAACACCAAAAGGCCCCCGGCTGTAGAGTTATGAACTCGTCGAAGCGTCCCCTTAAAAATACACAACAGAGCAACAGTTGTTGAAATTTATATTGGTATCTCAAAATCTAATCCTAAAACGAATATAACGGCTCGCTAGTTTCTAATGTAAATGAAACTATTAGTTAAGAATTATGGGAAAAGAAAACAAAATCCATACAAGTATCATGGTCAAAGATATTCAGCACGTTGACGGATCAGGTATTGATGACAGCTTGTCTTTGATGGCAAATATGCCGACACGATTTTCTAACATTGATGGAGAGCTCTTTAGAGCCTGTCTTGGTGCATACGGATGTAGCTAAACACTGTAGCATCTGGGGGGGGGGGTGGGTAGCTAAATATTTTAGCATCTGGGGGAGGGGTGTGGCTAATTATTGTAGCATTTGGGGGAGGGGGCTAAATATTTTAGCATCTGGGGGTAAGGGAAGGGGGGAAGCTAAATATTGTAGCATGGGGGGGGGTGTAGCTAAATATTGTAGCATCTGGGGGTAAGGGGGGAAGCTAAATATTGTAGCATGGGGGTGGCTAAATATTGTAGCATGGGGGTAGCTAAATATTGTAGTATCTGGAAGGGGGGTGGCTAAATATTGTAGCATCTGGGGTGAAGTGGGGGGGTAGGGGTGAAAGCAAAATATTGTAGCACCTGCTGGGGGTTGCTAAATATTGTAGCATCAGGAAGGACTGACAACTATAAGTGCTTTTTGACGATCCAAGTGTCAGTTAAAGGAGGGGGTGGGGTTACTCTTTGATCACAGCAGATGTTGGGCAGGGATCAGCATTGTGCCCTTGATGTGAGACAGTGGGATCAGCATTATGCCCTTGTTGTTAGACAGTGGGATCAGCATTGTGCCCTTGATATGAGACAGTGGGATCAGCATTGTGCCCTTGATGTGAGACAGTGGGATCAGCATTGTGCCCTTGATGTGAGACAGTGGGATCAGCATTGTGCCCTTAATGTGGGGCAGTGAGATCAACATTGTGCCCTTGATGTGGGGCAGTGAGATCAGCATAGTGCCCTTGATGTGAGACAGTGGGATCAGCATAGTGCCCTTGATGTGAGACAGTGGGATCAGCATAGTGCCCTTGATGTGGGACAGTGGGATCAGCATTGTGCCCTTAATGTTGGGCAGGGATCAGCATTGTGCCCTTAATGTGGGGCAGTGAGATCAACATTGTGCCCTTGATGTAAGACAGTGGGGCCAGCATAGTGCCCTTGATATGAGACAGTGGGATCAGCATTGTGCCCTTAATGTGGGGCAGTGAGATCAACATTGTGCCCTTGATGTAAGACAGTGGGGCCAGCATTGTGCCCTTGTTGTGAGACAGTGGGGCCAGCATAGTGCCCTTGATGTGAGACAGTGGGATCAGCATTGTGCCCTTAATGTGGGGCAGTGAGATCAACATTGTGCCCTTGATGTGAGACAGTGGGGCCAGCATAGTGCCCTTGATGTGGGACAGTGAGATCAACATTGTGCCCTTGATGTAAGACAGTGGGGCCAGCATAGTGCCCTTGATATGAGACAGTGGGATCAGCATTGTGCCCTTAATGTGGGGCAGTGAGATCAACATTGTGCCCTTGATGTAAGACAGTGGGGCCAGCATAGTGCCCTTGTTGTGAGACAGTGGGATCAGCATTGTGCCCTTGATGTGGGGCAGTGGGATCAGCATTGTGCCCTATCCACATTTCCCCAGACTTGAGACAGGAACGTATTAAGATGGTACAACCATGCACTCTTTATGGACAGCATTGATCGTAGACCCGAATCCCAAATTATATTGACGACCAGGTATACTGACAACCTGATATACTAACAACCATGTGTACTGACAACCATATGTATTGACAACCATGTGTACTGACAACCAGGTATACTGACAACCAGGTGAATAAGACAACCAGGTGTATTGACAACCTGGTAAATTAGTAAACAGATATACTAAACACCAGGCGTAATGACAACCAGGTGTGCTGACAGCCAGGTGTACTGACAACCAGGTAAATTGGTAAACAGGTGTACTTACAACCAGGCATACTGACAACCAGGTATACTGACAACCAGGTGTACTTACAACCAGGCATACTGACAACCAGGTATACTGACAACCAGGTGTACTTACAACCAGGCATACTGACAACCAGGTATACTGACAACCAGGTGTACTGACAACCAGGTGCACTGACAACCAGGTGTACTGACAACCAGGTGTACTG